ACACACACACATACACACACATACATACATACACACATACATACACACATACACACAGGCTCAAGCTGTGAGTGGTTCAAGCAGGCAGCCCCTCACAAAGACCTGCTTGTGCGGTTCTCCTCACGCACCACGTGTGCCCTGCGAACCACCTCACGGACACCGCCTTTGAGGATCCCAAGCGCAAGCGTCCTTCTCCCGTGATCTCACGACATCCTCAAGAACGCCCTTGAGGACCTCTTTGGCACCCGGCAGTGCTCGCTTGACTTTGTCTTGGTGCCCCACCAGGTGATTGGCCTACAACCTTGTGGTTACCTCAGGCCTGATCGTGATCGGAGCCACCCAGGTTGCCCTCTAGTTTGACTACCTGGACGCCACATCATCCGACCTGATCCAGGAGTATGACGCCACAGTGGGGACGGGCGTACATGACCTGCTCGAAACCGGACTGCTACAACTGGATCTGGACAGACAAGGTCAGAGCTGGCACAAAATGCAGAAGATGCGGCACCTGGTGGCCCGACATGACACCACGAAATGGGAAAGGCAAAGGCTATGGACGACCAGCCAACAAGCACACACCTCAGTCGTCGTGGCTGGACACCCCGCCAGGCCTCACCAAAATCAGGCCATTGAAAAGGACAAAGATGCAACAAGAAGCGACAGAACTCCTCAATAGCAGTTGGGCCAGTTTGCCGGAGGACACCCAGCACAAGCTTCAAGCACTCGGCATAGGTCCCACAAAACCAGAGGAACCAGAGCTCACTGATCTTTTGAAGACGCATATGGATGCCCTGCCGCCACAGGTCCAACAAATCGTGACCAAGCTCACGGCACCCGAACCATGCTCTGAGCGTGACATTGCCACCAAGCTCAAAAGCCAGGTCACAGACCTCAAGGCCATGTCCATACGAAAGAACCAGCTGCAGGAGAAGATTGATGGCGTCAAGGCCCAATATGCCTCCCTCCTAACTGACATGCAGGAGCTCCAAGGCAAATTGGCTGACGGGCAGAAAGCACTCCACAAGCTTTCCCAGGACTATATGACCGCCATCAACAAAACACCAGCACCAGCAGAATTGCCTAACGGCAATGGCGAGCCCGAGCAGATCCCAATGGCCGTAGAGTCCTTTGTACACAGTTTGGGAATCTCCCTCACCGAGGAGCAGAAAAATCAGCTCCACGGGCTCCTCAAGCGGCCCAATCAGGACCCGGATGACCCGACCAAGAGGAGGAAAACTGACGCTGCACCCACACCGCCTCCTGGACATGGTGGGTAACAGGGACAGGGAGGTTCCACCTATGGGATGGACTTTTCCGCTGCCGGAAGATGACACATGGTCATGCGAAGGGACGGAAGAGCACAGCTTGGGACATCTTGTGGAACAAGAAAATTTTGTTGACGAGGCCATGGAACCACCACCTCACCATCAGTGGATCCACCTCACCAAAGAAGACACAGAAACATACCGGAACACTTGTGAAGGGGAGATTTCACAACGAGATACCGGGTTTTCGGACGACCTGAGCTCACGAGACACCATATGGGATTGCCGTGCTGCCTCAGGCTCAACAGCTTTTACCATTTCAAGTGCTTCACGTGTTGGGGAAAACACATGCAGCATCCCTTTGGAGCTCTCTCCACATACCTCAATTCAAGGGACCATAGTTGCAGGGGTGGAGCAACTCGACACTTTCTCATCGGATCCTCCCAACGAGAGTCCAATTTTGACAACTTCCTCTTTACCTGCACCGGCGACACCACATGGGCCTTGGCTGACGCTCACAGGAGGTGCCTCAAGCACTCCAGCCACCTCAGCTGACACCGAAGCAAGGGCATCCTTGATGAGCGGTCATTACTATACTATGCCTCGACCACGGACCTCCTCCTCCAGAATTTGAGCATGGTGGTCGGAAATCCCAGTGCCCGGTGCTACGCTAATGCACCCTGGCGTGCCTTCTGCTGGATGTGTGCCTATCTGGCGGAATTCAACCGCGACCCATGGGGAGTGATCAAGGATGCTGTCCAAACTTCCTTGGAGCTCACCGAACCAGTTGACATCCAGCAACTGCCAGGCCTACACCAGCTGTGGGAGAAGCATAACCTGAACATCGAAGGAGACGCAGCCCATTTTGTGCATTCCTTGTGGGTCCACTCCCAAACCCGCGTTCTCCAATACCGCCACACTGAGATCAAAGAGGGTGGCTACATCACAGAGCACATCCAAGTCCCGTTGATTGTGGACTACCCTGATGAATTTCTCGATGAAATCACCTGGCAAGAACTCATGAACTGCTGGGCCAACCAAGGCTATGGGCAGTACCTCGGAGACGACAAAATGGTCCACATCAGTCACATCAACCGGGCTGTCACCATCGACGGCACGGTGACAAAACACAAACGAGCCCTCAACCCCCACGGACCATACACCGTCCCCCGCTCCCTTGACGGTTTCTCCAGAGCCAGTGCTGAGTACATTCCAATGGCGTACATCTGCCACAGAGGACCCACCCATGAGACCGGACACTACTACGCCATCCTCGTGTACAAGGACCTCATGTGGATTGCAGATGATGGTGCCAATCCAAAGGTGCTTCCCTTTTTGACACCACAAATTGCCGGCCAGATCGTGCAAGTTTGGGGCATTCAGACCACAGCACTGGTTCAACCACGACAGATCGCCCGGGCACTGCCACCGCCCGAAACCCCAGACTACGATCCACCACTTCACGGCACACCACCCAAGAAGGCACGGCACACTCAAGAGCACATGCGCCTCCATGTCGCCAACATCACTGCCTTTGGGAAAAGCACACTCGACTGGTACTGGACCCGAGACAATGAAATTTATATCCTGGTTGAGACCCATCTGGATCGGCAGAAGCATCAATCGATGTGCCAGTACTTCGAGGTCAGAGGCAGACATGCTTTCGGGTATCCAGCACACAGCAACACCACCAATGAAGGCACACATGGGGGCATCATTGTCATCCACGACGCGGCCCATGGACTTACTCAACTTGAAGCTTTTGAGGTCGAAGGATGTGGATACCAAGCTTTCCTCTGGGAAGCCAAAGCCAGATCCATCCTGGTCGTTGCCGTCTACCTCAAAACCAATGAGTCCATTCAAGGCACGACGAATGCCCAAATCCTGGCCCGCATCCTAGCGCTCCTGGATGCCTTCACCCGGCAGTTCATCTTGGTTGGCGACTGGAACAACCACCCGGAGCAATTCCAAGGAACAGTCCTTGATTCCAAATTCCACTGGCAAATCCTCGCCCCAGATGCCACCCTGCTCAATGGCAATACTGTTGACTATGCCATTGTTCAACAAACCTTGGCAGCTTGCACCTCCATGACCACAGAATGGGCTGTCCCTTGGCGACCCCACTGCCTCCTCACCTACGCCCTTGAACTTGGGGACGACTTCCGGCTTTACAACCAAATCCGGAGTTTCCCTCCACTACCCAATGTGCCCGACATCGGCTTCCGCGCCTGGAGCACCTATGTGTCTCAAGTCGAACAGCTTCAGTTGTACGACAGCAGCCCAAACTCAGGAGCCCAAACTCTTGCAGATTGGACATCCATCACCGAACAATACCTACTACAACAGCACCCTGGGCTCCACAGGGACGTGGTTCTAACCTGACCACTCAGCACCTACCCCTGGTACCGGCCAAAGCAGGCGGCCTTTGGAAAAAAGGCAAGGCTGCCTTCTGGGAGCAGATCCAGGCCAGACTAAACTTGATCCAAAACCAGCCCGCCAAAGCCACTGGCGCCATCCACGGGCTCAACAAAGCTCTCCAGCGAGTCCAGCACCACTGGTTAGGAGATCAGACTTGGGGCCAGTTTCTCGACACCCATCACCATTGGGTGCAGTTCAGGGACGACCGCACCTTTGAACTCCTGCAACAGACGGTGCAACATCAACTTGAAGCAGCGCAACAACAAAGCAGAGATGAGACCAGTCTGCAATATGCCGAATGGATCAAACAAGGTGAAGCCAAAGGACTCAAGGGGCTCTTCCGATCCCTGAAAGCCAGTGAAATGTCGTGGCAGAGACCCTACCGATCCACCCCGATGGCAGACCGCATGCGACACCGCATGAACGACTGGCACCAGCTATGGAAGCCTACGAGCGACAACCAGCCCATGACCCGCCTGCCACTCCAAGACCAGGCCAAACGACAAGCCGCCGAGCTCCCGGCCCTCACCTTTGAACACCTCAAGAAGACCCTAAAGCACCTCCCGGACAAAGCCTGTGGACCTGACGCCATCACTACCCAGCTGCTCAGGACTGCTCCGAAACAGGCCATCCAACCACTCCTTGGAATCCTTCAAACCATGGAGGCCAAGGCAGAGCTCC